CTTACTTCTCACAGGGGTAAAACCAAGCTGGAGCAATCAAGAATGCAGCTCTGGTGCTTTTTAACCAGGTAGAGCAACGTGTCACCACTTTCACACAGGTTACCTAAGCAAGTTATACATATATATGTATATATATATATAATCACTTTTTAATGGATTTTGACTGGCCTGCATGCTCTTCAGCTATGTACCTTCCCTCTCCATTGCAAGATAGTAGAAACATGCACAGCTGCTCTCTGCTGAGTCATGGGACTCACATCACAGCATGGTCAGGCGGGATTGGCAACCCCAACATACATTTTTTAACTCTGCTAATGATTTTTCTGGATATTTTAATACAGTATTTAGCAATAACTGCATGCTCTACAGGTTTTGAAGTATGGATCATAAAAGTACTGGAATGTTATACGTTCAAGAGGCCAAAGAAAAAGGGAGCATGCATAGTTTTTAAAAAATAAAAACAACCCTTTTTGATTCAGCCCTTATAAATGTTAATATTTAATATGTGTTAAGTGATTTATGTAATGATTACTGCCACAACTTAAGCTCCTTAATGAAGAACATTTAAACTACTGCCATAGCTACTCACATAAAAATTACACTGTAATACTTTTAAATCTACTTTTAAATGCACTGTAATGCAAATCTTCAAGATGCTAACAAACTACATTCCGTATTCATTTGGGCAGTGCATATCTTGAGTTTTATAAAGTGTAAGCAGAGCAGTTTCATAATTGCTAAAATTATACTTAGCAAATAACCCCCCTTAAAAAACTCTCAAAGCAAAGCATTTTACAATTACTCTTTTCTTAAACTCCTTCATAAACAGCGGTATTTTGGAATGTGTTTCACAATAGCAGTCTGTGACTGAGTTTGGGGACTTTACTTGGTGTAAATTAGAAAGACTTCGGAGTATCGGCATAATTTTTATAAAATTCCATGTATATTTACCCTAGGGATTTTTTTTTTTTCATTATAGGCAATTATAATCTCCATTCATGCATAATTGGCAGAGCCTTCAGGAACAATGATAGCAACTACTGCACAGGAGCTAAAGTCATATGAAACTAAGGACGTTAAATTATCCTAGTAAAACTTGACATCAAGATTTTATTGATGGGATTGAGATTTCAGTCCTATAGCAGGATTCAAAGCTGTTGCCTTGAGACAAAGTCTCGCTGGCTTCAAAAGGAAAACCAAATGGTTTGTTTTGTACCACTGATCATAGAATCATATAATCTTTTGGTTGGAAAAGACGATTACGATCATCTAGTCCAACCATAAACGTCGTAGTGTAGTGTGATCTATCTGTATAATATCACAGTATAAACTGTCTCTGGCAGAGATGCCAGAAGAAATTAATATTGGTGTGTATTCTGAAGATTCTCAGATTTTACCGATTAAATTTTAAACCAAGATATGCTTCAAACATCAAATAAAACTCTAAGGAAAGATATTTTAAAAGTGGTTTTCTTAACATTATATAAAAGTCAAGTATCATAAGATATGAGATTTAAAGTCAGTTATTCTCAACTTTGGAATCATTGATCCCCACTATTTTATATTTTGTCACTCAATTACAGTGCAGCTTTTGAGATTCAAAGGATAAAACCACATGGCTGAATTATTAAAGGCAATTTGTAATGGCTGAATCCCTTTATTCTATTGTCACTTGAATCATTAAGCCGTTTGTAAAGCTTTAAATTTTAGTAGCCTGCTCTTGCTCTTATTGAAATCTAGAATGAAATCAAATGAGAGCAAGACTGGGTCTTAAGTGAATGCATTTTCTTGTAAATGGGCACATTAACTTGCTGTTGGTCAAAGCTTGTTTTAATGATCTAAGCTGTTGAATAGAGATGCACTGCTCTGAAAGGACAGTATGGAGGCTGATTATACATATATTAAGCAAGTATGTGGGTTGGTGATGAAGCATTTTTTCATGTTATATTCTATACAATAATATTTATAATAATATTTTCAGAAAAATATAAACCCATTGAGGTAGTCTTATTTTTTTGTTATTTTTGTGTGTGATTTCCACAGTATCGCTCAGGCTTCTGCTCTAGTCAAGCATGTTGTTTCGCTGATTCAGGCCTTGAGAATGCTGCATCATAAGCAATTGCTTTCAAATGTACCCTTGTAAAGGAAAATGTAATATCACTGAAGATGCAAATAAGTATTTACAGGGCATGGCACGTTCTAGAGGCTGATAATCACATTTACAAGGTTAAAAGAAGGTTGTATCAATCCATCATGTATCTGAAGTTTCCTATTAGTTTTACTGATAGGAAAAAAAATCATTAAAGTCGGCTTATTTAAAATGCAATGGTTCTTTCCTAATTTAGGGTCTTGAAACAAAGAAGCGGAGTTTTATTAACTTCATGAGTTGGTTGGTTTTTTTTTTATAACGCAATTTTTTGAGATTATTTGAAAAATAATGAAGAGAATGATTTATATGAAAAATAATGAAGAGAATTATAGTAGGCTTTTTTTCAACCAATTATAAATTGAACTTCTGTCACTTGTTTTTTAGGAAGTATGCTGACAGGACTATATCTGCAACAGAGTTTATATGGGAAGAAGCAGTTAAAAAATTGACTGCCTTTTAAGTGGCACTCACATATTAATAATTGATTCTTACTATGAACCTTTATCTTGCTACTATTAAGTAATTGATTTAATGATGATGGATCAGGCCATGAAATAGTTTTAATTTTCCTAACTTGAATGTGACAAATTATTATTTTCACAATATTTGGTTTTTATTTAATGAAGAAACTGCCTATAATTTCAGTGACAGGTTTCAGAGTTTTTTCTTTATATTACAAGGATATATAATAAAAGAAATAATTAATAACTCTTATTTCCTTTTTAAAAGAGGGCCTTATGTGTGGATAATAAAGTGGCGCGCTAATAATGCTTAATATAGTGTACATTAATGTGCATTTTGGTCTGTAAATGTAATACAGAAAGCCAAGTTTTAAATGTTCTCACTATATGAGGTACACTATATTTTATTTCAGACTTACTGATCTATATGACGAGTAATAAAATTATTCCATTTAGAGACAATATGGCTGTAACTATTTTACATATATAAATTCTGGAAATCATAGTGGAAGCGCAGTATGAAAAAAGAAACATAATATTTTAACATGTTTACTAAGCAAAAATTAACCATTGGAAACATCCAAATCTCAGTGTATTTATCCAAATCTTTTCACATTTGTCCGTGTGATTTTCCAGGTACAAAAGATCATGATATTTAAAAAGGGAAAGAATGGTTTTCAAACTCATACCTGTATGCCTGTCAGAAACATTTTCTATTATGCAACAAGTCCTTTATTTTTGGTCACAATGCAGTAACAGCCATGCAACCTGAGGTCTGAGTGATCCTATATCGACTACATTTGCATGTGTGTGTGAAGGGCAGCTTCTTGAATCTTAACTCTGAAATTATCCATCACCCAACACGAATTTTTTTTTTTTAATCTTCGTTCATCTCATTTAAGAGTTGAATATGAGGAAAGAATTGCTTACCAAACTATATAATGACATATGTTCCATTTACTTCATTTCTGGCAGAAAAAACGCCCTTAGCTCCCAATGCATTTTCCTGAAGGGACTGAATTTTAACTGAAAAGTTAAATAACTAGTTTTAATTTGCAACAGTGTCTCTGAAGGAAAGAATACATGGAAATGACTCTTTTAAAAGTTTTGATTATTAATTATTGAAAAATAATTCCAATAATCTGATCAGTATTTTTTTATTCTAAAAATTTAACTCCCTTAAAACTAAATATGAAAAGTACTTGGAATTAATCATTCTTTCAAAAAATTTGTATAGAAATTTCTTAATATAGGGCACGATCAGATCTGCTTAGCTGTAACTTAGTGACCAAATGCCCCTTTGTTACATCAGTGCCTGTACAATTTAAAGTATTTAAGTTAGATGTGCATTATAGATCTCCCTCAAAATTCCTGTGTGTTACTGCTACATGGTATAAACCAGACGTATTTTGCTGCCATGCTTTTTTTAATGTTGCTTAAAGATTACAAGCTTTATTTCACAGTAAAAGAGACTGTATTTCGGATGAAAGCATTTAAAGATGCAAACAGTGTTGACAACTAAAACCAAGTTATAAACTCTATGTCCAATTACTGCATTAGTTGTGTGCATCTTTAGCAGGTTTGTCCTTTCTTAAAAGGACTAAATTATGGGCAGTCTTGCATGACTGATAAACCGCTTGATCTGATCCAAATTTCAATGCACTTAGTCAACTAAGTTACTTAATTTCAGTTGCTTTCTATTACTCTTCAGTTCTTGCAGTTTTCAGATCTAGAAGTGTTTTTACCATAGTAAGGACTACAGTGTTTCACTGTACACAAAAGCAGTAGAATGACAGAAAAAATCAGGAAAGGACCTCAGGAGGTGTCTCAATATGCACAGGAGACTGGAATGCAAAGAAGATATTTCAGATCTGGTAATTTGTGCTTACTGCAAAAATTAAACTGTGCAGAAATTTGCCATTAAATACCATTAAATTTACAACTTTCTAATCCAGATATGGTGTATGTTTGTGAAAACACCATCTGTAGTGGACATGAAGATATATGTGGAGCTTTCTCTTAGTTCACTTCACTGGGAAACTAAGACATTTTCAGTGTAATCCAGTATAGTAAAGATAATTAAATAACTTGAGAGTGGGGCACATGCAAGCTCTCCAGTTTTAATACCACTGAGAATACTTCAGAAGTCTTATACGTGGATCAGGTTAGTAGTCAAATTGTATTTAATTGTTCCCTATGACTAGATAAACTGGGAAACAGAACTATACAATGTACATTTCATTACTATGTTGTTACTTATGGTGATGCATATTTATCAGTATAAATTTAGCATTCCTCAAAAGTCAGAGACGGCATGAGTTGATCAGTAGCATTTTTTACAGAATATGTATCTAATGAGAAATAATTGTTCTGTGGAACTTTACTTGCAGAAACTAAATGCATCCAGTTCATCAGAAGGCAGCACAGTTGATATTGCCCCTCCTGGAGAGGGTGAACAAGCAGAAATTGAAAGTGAAGAAGCTCTTGAACCAGAAGCCTGTTTTACAGAAGGTTGTAGAATAACTGTTAACTTAAGAGATGTATGAGTAAAATGTCATTATTACTAGGCATGTTTAGGTTCTGGAGACTTTCAAATCCAGTGGACCTTCATGATCTCAACAATCAAAAGAAAATACTCTTAGCCTAGAATGCTGGAAATCAGATGCCAAAACATGGTTTCCCTAGGCTTTGATTAATTTTATCTGCCTGGACACTGCATACATCTTGTAACTAAGAAACTTCACTAACTTTTCTACTCTTAAAATCCTTTTCAGTTATTTGAAAGGGCCCTTGAAATTTGGAAAAATTATTTTTTGTGAGACTCTATTAACAAATGGAACAGTTACATGCCAACAGTCAAAAATATCAATGATTTTTTGATTGAGTCTACTCATAATTATATCTAGTATTTTCTGGTTTCTTTCCAAATTATTTATCTAAATTCAGGATCCTATAAAAGAGGATCCCAGTGTTTAATTAAAAAAAAATATATAAAATTTGTTAAAGCTTCTAACAATGTTGATGCCGCAATAAATATTGCCATTGAAATAATTTGCTTTTGGATCCTCATATCTCTTAATCTAATGCAGGTTGTGTGCAGAAATTTCCATGTTGCCAAGTAAGTATAGAGGATGGCAAAGGAAAAATTTGGTGGAATCTTAGAAAAACCTGCTACAGCATTGTTGAGCACAACTGGTTTGAGACCTTCATTGTTTTCATGATTCTCCTCAGCAGTGGAGCACTAGTAAGTAGAAGAATTTTGCATATGCTTAAATATTTAGATATCTCCTTAGAAGCAACAGCAAAATTCAAATTTTCTTCAGAAAGACCTGTTTTGCTCGGAGCTGTATAAAGCTCCCTGCATTTCATCATTTCAGGATGGAATGAAACTTTGCTCAAACTTGAAAAAGTCTGTTCAATTTCACATGCACATTTTTAGTGATAGTTTTGGTTTACCACTTTAAACTTGGTGCAATTTTATTTAAGCCAGCATAGCTGCTCAAGATGAAATGGCCTGCTAATTTTCAGCATATTTGTCAAGAGATTTGAGTACAAAGGACCATTGTTAACTGTGAATATATAGCTAAATTTATGATTTTAAGTCCTTAAGTCTGAGGCTCAGCCACTTCTTGGATCCTGCTTATGAAAAAACATACAAAAAATGGAATAATTACTTCATTCTGTTCCTTTTTTGGAGACAGGAGATAGGGAAGAGGGTGACAGAAAATTAAACCTAACAACCACTTTACAACAAGATTTACATTACCAACCTTTCCAGCTTTACACAAGTTGAACACGTGCTACAGTATCAATGTGCATAGTGTACATTCTAGCAAATACACTGCTCTTTAATTTGACTTCTAGACTTAAGTTTGATTGATGGAGGATAACATGTAGTCTCCCTAAGTGGTTTCTAGAATGGAATATACATATCTGGAACAGATTTTTTACAAGAAAGGGTTTTGTGTGTGTGTGTGTGTGTGTGTGTGTGAAGGTTTATTAATATCACAGTGGATGAAAAGTCATTAGTAAAACAGGATATATAGGTATTCAACCCCAGATAGGGCAGAATACATAAAGTTGCTCCAAACTGTAGTATGGTTATAGATTGGAAATATGTAAATTAAAAGGATGCAGGAGAACAAGGGGAAATACTAACTCTGACCTACTTATTTTTACTGATTTATTCCTTATTTTTATCATGTATATTATGTGAAAAATTAGTAATACCTGAATATATTTTTCTCATAGGCTTTTGAAGACATATATATTGAACAGCGCAAAACTATCAAGACCATGTTGGAATACGCTGACAAAGTTTTTACATATATTTTCATTTTGGAAATGCTTTTAAAATGGGTAGCATATGGTTTTCAAATGTATTTTACTAATGCCTGGTGCTGGCTGGACTTCCTGATTGTTGATGTAAGTACACAGTCTTTAATGTTGTAAAGTCCTTTATGGTGTCAAACTCATTCCTACTAAGTAATCTCCTCATAAACATGCAAAAATAATTCACATTGTATAGTTATACTGCATTATTAATAGCCTGCAGTGATCTGGATGTGTTATTTATATGCCAGAAGGAAAAGGATGGCTGGCCATCAATTTGTTCATTCTTCATGGTTAATAATTTCATACCCAGGATGTATCAAACTTGAGATTTTATGAGGAAAAAAAGCTAATTTTGAAACATTCTATTTTTAATAGACTCTGATCATACTACCTTACTTCGTAGCAAATAAGATACTATATTGTGCAAGTTTCTTCTACAAACATTGCTGCTTTGCAAGTGAAAAAATACATTTGGTCCAGATTTCATCTGAGTTCTCAGAACTTCATTCCCCAAAACTATCCTCTTATTATTTTTAGTAAAACAGAAAGACAGTGTCTATTTGGTCTAAAAATTAATTAGTTTTAACAGCCTGACAATCTGCAAAGGTTAAATAAGCAGGGTTTATGATAGAAGAGAATACAAGATTTCTTGGCTGCCTTCGCAGCTGTGATATACTTCTGTGCAAAGGCCTTGCTTATGTTGTCAGAGGGATCAAAGCTGGTTTTACTCTCAGAGTATTTTAGTCTCTTGCCTTCACACATTATCTGACCCAGTTCATTGGCTATACATGTCCTCTCAGTGTGGAAATGAGAGATGGCATCTCAGGGCAAATGTGCATTTATAGTAATTTCTGCCCAACCTACTGTATTTCTTGAGAAGTTTGCATAAATCCTGATCCCAAAAATACTTATTCTTTATGAATATATAATAGAAATGTATCAGATTTGTGAGTCCCAGAGGAAAAAAAAAAACCTAGCTAGATTGGTCCATAATTCAAAATGGAAGACCTTATCTTTTTTTTAACCTGCCTAAATTAGTTTTGTTATGTTAATCTCTAGCTTGTCCTCGAAATCAACACTAGAATGAAGCCGTGTGAATGGTTTTCTTAAGAGGATGTTAATGCTCCCTTCCAGGATTATGTTAAGAATGGATTTATTTTTAGATAAACTACAACTCATGTTTTAATTATTCTTTTTGTAACATAAACCTGAACAGATTATTCTAAGCCATACTCCATGGTTCCATAGCAATATCTTAGCCTTAGAGATGCTGTTATCTGAGCAAGCTCTCAGAATTATAAACATCATCATAAATAACGAAGCTTATTTTGCCAGCTTTTTACCCATAATTTTTAATTTTTTAAACAAAAGCATGACTAAATGAGATTGGAATCTTCTACTTCTGAAGAATTGTATTCAACATTCAAAGTGGTAAAAATGTCGTACTGTATGTCTCAGGCTAATTCAGCAATTCCTTTAGCATCACCAGAGAGCAGTTGAAAGAAATACATGAAATCATGTAATCTTACTATAGAAATGCAGAGAATCTACACTGCTTTAACAGGCAGTTTGAACAGGTGTGATTCAGTGGCATCCTCCCCGTGAGAACACCACTGAGCCTTTCTTCATTAGAAGTGACTAAAGTTAATCAAATTAATTCCATCCTCTAAAATTATTCAAGAGTAAACACTGATATTTACATACCTGAGTCTCACCATGAGAAACAGCCATAGTTGCTCTCAGTGATTGTGATCAAATGACATTTTAATAATCAAACAAAGAAATGTCAATTTTCAGCTCTGTCAGTTTACAGCCATGACAGATGATTTGGTACATCTGGCTACCTCAGTTTAAGACCTTATCATGCCATCTCTCCACCCCACTCTTCTGCTATATGCAACAATATCTGTAGTAAGGAGCAGATATTTGGGTGGTGTGCCTTACCTACCCAAAATCACAATCTGACAAACTAATTCACTTAGTTAACATTTATCATTGGTTTAAGTTAAGAAACAATTTTGGTTGCAAGCAGCTGAGAAGCAGGGATGTATTCACTTTTTTGGGGGATACTAATTCTGGCAGATGCATCCAACAAAGGCTTGAGACAGCAATATCTTAACCCAGCACGACTAGATGCTATAGAGCATGTCATCCTGTACCTCGTTTTTTGCTCTTACCTCTTTTTACAGAAGCCATCTGTCATGAGTTTATGATGTCTAGGTTTTGATGTACAGCTGTAATGACTCTAAGTTGTCTTTGACACATAAAAGGCTAAAAAATAGGACATCAGGGGAAGAGGTAGGGAATCTGTGAATACCCAATGAGTTTGTCAGTTATCAAATTTGTTTGTGTAGTTTTCTGCTATAATATGAAATCTTAGATAATCTTAAGGGAATAGTTTTATGCTGTATATTTCTAAACTTTATAAGATAGTCCTATAATTTGGTATGGACACTTTATTTCTAAATTATTGTGTTAATAAATTGTACTTGAATGAAATGGAAATAAGAAACATTTAAATCAAATCATGTATTTGCCAAATACTGTGGGGCAGTGATGAAGCTGTAAATAGAATAAAATCTTTGACCTTGCTGAAATTGCTCATGCCTTATAAAATTCCACTGGGTACAGTTTTTGAACAATTAAATGTAGCAAAACAACCCTCCAGTTGGGCTTGTTGTAGAAGCTGGTCATATTGATGGCTTATATAATATTCATACAGCTAGAAATGTTTCATGCTTTTTGTTGAAACAGTTAAACTAATTTAATTAAACTCTGCTCTCAACCTTTTAATTAGCTTTTCAGAATAATTAACTGCAGCAACATTCTGGCAAAAATCAGGGTCACATTATACTAATATACTAAATCCTGTATACACAGAGTAAGAAGGAACTGCTGCCCTAACATATTCATAACAAAAATAAGAAGAAATATGAAGATGAGCATATTGATGTGTTGGGAAACTAGATACAGAAAGAGATGTCACTTTGTCTTCCTAGACTGTGTCATATGTCTTTATGTGTATCCTAACATGGTACACTATGATAACATTAGATAATCCAGAAATTAATGAAATTAATTATTTAATTCAAAGGGATATTCAGATTATATATGCATGAAACTATATGCATGAAACTTAAGGCCCTTCCTTTGCTCTAAGGGAACAGAATCATAGGTTTCAATTATGCCTCTTAAAATGTATTTTGAATAATTGCCAGTAAAATACCATAAACTAAGAATTATTCACCAAGTATATATGCAAAAAAGATATTATCTTAGTATAGAACCATAACATATGAAAGGCTACATAAGACATAAGAAAGTGAGTTTTTTTCCCAAATCTTGCAGTTTATTTTTATTCCTAGTTAAGTGTAATACTTGAACATTTAAACTACATGAAAGATAGGATAAGCAGTGTTGGAAATGAGGAGGGCCATATGCTACTGAGCACCTATAATCAAATCACATAGTAGCCACCTGACCAATTAGCACAGAATTCATATGGATTCAAATTTTATGCCTAAATAGAAATAAAGTCAGTGTGGAGCTGTATGACCAGTCGTGTGGCTCAGATGACAACCCTGACTGAAGATCTTGAGCAGGGCTAATTGTGATTGCTAAGTTTCAAAACATTTTTTCAACAGATAGTCTGCATTAGAAGAGCCATACACAAAAATGTGGACATACAACCCTCCAGTTTTAGGAGATAAATGTAAAAATTATTTCCAACATTTTGAGTTAATTTTCATTGCTTAAAAGTACTGCATCTACATGCATTCCTATCTCAAAAGAAAGAAATTAATGTATTTATTAGTGTACAGAGACTTTTAGTTTCTCATCTACTAGTGACAAACAGATAAAATAGAAGACAGAAGAAAAAGCTAAGATGACTGAGAAAACTGGAGCAGTACAAACAGCTGTATATCCTTATGCTGTATACACAACAGAATTAATATCAAAGAATTCCAAGCAAATCTTTGCCTCTCATTTGACCTGTCCCTCAGAGGAAAACATGTTTTTTACAATAGATGAAGTCTTTCTCTGTGCAATGACTTCAGGTTTATGATGTAAAAGCAGTAACATCATGGTAAGAAAGCTGCAAATAGGTTGAAATGGAATGCACAAACTAGGCTGAGAATGACTTAAAATCAGAACCTAAAAACTGCCAGTATACAGAGTGCCACTGAAGTTACAATAGCACAGCTATGTAGCTAGCATGTATGGAGTCTTGTTTGCAAAAGATAGCTAAAGCATAGTGCTAGTTTGGGGAGAAAAGTATAAAATGACAGGAGACATTAGTGTGTGTTCAGTTGTAAAAGAGGTATCTTGCTGTTCCAGTGAAAGACATATTTTTAATACATATTTCACAGTTTATTTTTATTCCATAAAATGTGCTGTCTTTACACTAAAGTTTATTGGTCTAGCTAGGTATCTTGATGTGAGTGAATCAATGAATATTCTATTAAAAATACAGAGAATTCCATGTCTTGTTATCTCTGGAATATATTAAGAGTAGCTAAGGATAAAAAAAATAACATTCTCACTCTAGAATCATAGGACAAATACATTGTAATAATGACAATTTTTAATAGCAATAATTGACAATAAGTAAGGTAATGGCAGAAACAATAATGTTTTCTCTTGTAAGTGAACAGACCAGTTAAAGACTAAAGAAAATCACTATGATTTTCTTTTTAGTATGCTTATAAATTACAGAATTACATCCTGACATAATCCAGTTGAAAGGTACAGATTATGTGAATTCACTGAAATACTATTTTCTGTTAGATTAATTTACATTGCAACATGATAATGAATAATTGATTTCTGTCTGCTCTCAGATTGTCTTTTTGAGACATGAACTTGTAACTTCTGTTTGTGACTCATATGTTCTTTATGAATACAAGTAACATAGGAAACCACCTCTTCATATAACGGGCAAAATCTTGCCACCATTATCAGTGAATCCCTATTTCTGTACAGCCAATTATTTGAAGAACTAGCTAGACTGAGGTACAGAAATGAGCATTTGAAGGATTTTTTCAAGGACTGCAATATGCCTATGTTCTTTTATGTCTTCTATGCTTTTGGTGGTAGAACTGAATAAAATATGAATAAGGTATGACTTCTGTCTCCAAAACTGCTCAAAGTAAATTAAATTCTTTCACATTAACACTGTTTAAAACTCAGTTCCACTTGAGAAGCAAATTAATTGCTCTTTCCTGAAGTGGATTGTCTTATAATAAAATCCTGGTAACATGAATCAGGGGCTCACTACTATTGTAGACAGTAAAGCACTTACTGTTATAATGCTAGCATCTGCTAATATCTATCCCATAATATTTTCCTATACTTAGAAGACAAAAAAAAAATATTGAGAGAGTTGTCCGGCAAGTGAGAAAGTACCTGTCAATATATATTTCATAGATACCCTTGCTATTGTTGCTATGAATTATAACAAAAGCTAATTAATCACTACATTATTTAGCATCTTATTAGTGATTATAGATATTAATAATTTTGTCAGTAGTTAATAAACTATCCTAATGTATTCAGAATTTTAAATTGCTTGGAAGGTTGAACCTTAACGAAGTTTCTGCAAGTATGGTTACTTTGTCTTTAAATATTTCTAAAAATTTTATCTTTCAACAACAGTGTGCTTCCATCTGATTGGTTCCATCTGGCTGTAATAGGCATTGAATAGCATATATTCCTTTTTCAAATATGCCATCTGATGACCTCTTACCTTTCCAGCAAGTATGGAAATTGTGGGATTGGGCCTCCTATGTCACTATAAGCAAGAATGGTGTTCTTCCACTTGTCATTGTTGATCTTTGATGTTGATTGAATACGTATTCTTTTTAAATAAAGTGTAGAACAATTTTTATAATAACATTTTTTTCTGTATTTTTATAGGTCTCATTGGTTAGTTTAATAGCCAATGCTTTGGGCTATTCTGAACTTGGTGCCATTAAATCGCTTCGGACATTAAGAGCTTTAAGACCTTTAAGAGCCTTGTCGCGATTTGAAGGAATGAGGGTGAGATAAACTGAATGAGTCTGAATGAATATATGCATAAAAAATTAATGTAGAAGTGTGACACTCATGCCTTCTGCAAAGAACTCCACCATGGGAACACATGCAAAAATATGCGTAAAAAAGGCCTTCCAACCTGTCTTTCTGCACAAGAAGTGTACAGTTTACATTTGGAGATTAGACCTTGAGCTCATTAAATTTACCTGCTCACTGCTGCATGGTTGTATTATCCCAGCCCCCTGACTGTTAAAATTTACATTGATTTGTGGACCTATATAGAAAAGCAAAAAGCCATGAGGAATTTTAGAACAGGAGGTTGGGGTTTTTTTCTCCAGTTTAGCTGAGAACTATACCTTATAAATTTCTGTAGCTAACTTCTATTCTCTGTTAGTTTGTCAGTGGTTCAGGATGGAACAGAATTAGCCAGAAAATAAACCAGAACAAAACAAAAAAAGGTGAAGAAGCTGATTACAGTGACACACCAGAAATTAAAGATTCCCTGTGGCTCTCTGTCTACCTGCCTGGGGGAAAAAACCCATAATAAATACTGTAGTATGGGGTTGGAAGTATAGAAAGGGAGAGACAGGAGATAATTTTCTCAGATAGTTTCCTTTGCTTCATATGAATGCATCTGCTGCCATCTTACCTCTCCTCCTACACAGCTAAATCCTTCCTCTTGAGGAAATTATTATTTTAATATTCTGCCAATTTGACAAAAAAAACCATTAACCCCAGACTATTACAAGCTGTCTGCTGAAAATGCCGACTATGCTATTTCCTGGAAAAACTGATGCATAAAAATTAAACAGGTAATGTTATTGAGAAATGTTCTTTTAATCTTTCACCTCAAAATACCCAGATGCTGCAATACATGTATATAGTTTAGTCATAGGTCTTAAGTTTCCAAAGGAATAGTGTGGTTCCTGTCTGGGTTGAAGCTGCTGATATTCAAGAGATGGCCGTACCGGCCAGTGTAGGAGAGTATGTCCTCTATTGATCTCAGGCTCCTTTCAGTCACATTAGTGAACTGAAAAATACTACTATTTTCAAAACCATACACAAGAAACTACTGCAGTCGCTACTGATTTGGCAGAAAATTCTTGTCTGAATATCTGCAGCTTTCTTTTAGTTCAATCACAATACGTAAAAGAAAATTTTTGTCAAGGGATTTCATCTGATCTTTTACTCCCACTTGCCCATATAGAGTACCTCAACTGTATTAAATGCAGCCAATTAAAAAAAAACCCTAACAGATAAGTGTAAGAGGAACTATAGTAAGCCAGGTAATTTAAAACCCAAGACTTATAGCAGATGTTTTTAATAAAAACTAAATAAGATATGCTTAATTATGGTACATTGTATGATGCTCAAATACACTGGTGCCAACATACACAAAAAGTTTATGATAATAAAATCATTAGTAATTATAGTTTTACATGCAGACATTTTTATTCAGTCTTCCACATCATCATTCTTTGACCTTTTTCTGGTTTATTTTCTATTTATAGATTTTGATTTGTATTGTTGGAATTTAACATTTATTTCTCTCTTTTTCTCTAGAGCACACAAATTCTAAGAATCCATCTTGCTACTAACAGGTTTTCTTTTGCTTTTTGATTTTTTTTTTTAGACTTTTACATTGTCTTAATTTCTGTATTTTATTTCTCGCTTTTTTGCAATCTCATTAGTGTTTTAATTGAACTTTAAATAACGTTTCCCCCATAAATGTTAATGTACTATTTTAACTGTCCATTCCATATTAATACTGTATTAACATTTTTATAGTATTTGTATTTTTCTGTTCTTAAACTAAGTGGCTATTTTGTCTAATTTGTACACTAGGTGGTTGTAAATGCCCTTGTAGGAGCAATTCCATCTATAATGAATGTATTGCTGGTTTGTCTTATATTCTGGCTCATCTTCAGCATCATGGGAGTAAATCTGTTTGCTGGCAAATTCTATCACTGTGTCAACACCACAACTGGTGAGATGTTTGATGTCAGTGATGTCAACAATTATACTCAGTGTGAGGAACTCATAAAAAACAATCAAAGTGCCCGATGGAAAAATGTGAAAGTAAACTTTGATAACGTAGGAGCTGGATATCTTGCTCTGCTTCAAGTAGTAAGTAAATTTATATATTCTCTTTTGCTCTTTTTAAAGAAGTCTAGGAAAAAATGGGCAAGACTGTTAAATAGCGGAATAATTTTTTGACAGTAATGATGTACAGCTTACACAACTCTATTGCATTGTTACCTGTAGTTTTTGCATTAATGGTAGTACAGTAACTTTCCATTCCAAGGCTAGGGAATACAGTCTCATGATGATAATAATGTGAAAATAGTAAGTGAAAAAGGTACAAGAATCTTTTTAGTGGTGTGCAATATAAACTTCAGGAATGCATTTCTTGAGTCCTGCCATGGTGGACAGGGCTTAGAGGTCCTTCTAATTATTTAAAAGGTCCCTCCTCTCCTTTATGAGGTCAGTTACCTTGTAAGACAGGAGGGCAGACAGCAGCTTAAAAGAGGGCAGGCATCCTAACTGACTGTCTGGTCTGAAGTGAGCAGCTACTGCCAATGTGTCTGACATAATCTGTTCCTAGGCATCATTACACATTCATAGCAACATTCTTTCACAGTCAAAATCCATTAATCTAGGCACTTTGGGGACTGTTAAATAATTTTTTTTTTTGTCAACAGCCTGGTCAAGGTAGAGTGGATTTTTCTTCATGTCCATACTTATCTATGGAACTACTTTGTAATTTAGATGGTAAAAATAAAACTATATCAACCTGCTGTCTCCAGTCCAGATATTTGTTTAATAGGAGCTTGATCTTCCAGACCAGAAAGTGGATTTAGGGAAAGGAATCATAAATAATGCAAGATCTGAGACTGGGGCACCCAATGTTTCATGTAGCATGGAGCCAATTCTTTAAAAAACTTTCCCTATTATCATACTTCTGTAAGGGAAGAGAGAAGTAGAAGCTGCCCATGGGAAGAATAGGTATAGTTACCGACAGACAGATCCTAATTGAGTATTAGGTCTGATTAATCATATAACACTTTCTCTTGATGTTTGCAGATAAACAGAACTTGCTACTAAAATAAATGTATTTCATTAAGAAGTACATGAAACTGCAAAGACATTAAACTGTGGGTAAAATAGGAAAATGTAAAATATTTTTATGACAGAAAAGACTAATAATTTATAACTATCATATTCCACTAATATTTATTAAAGAGTCATAATGTACTAAATAAATATTATGTTACTTATAGTATTATCCTTGCAAAGTATTAGATGTTATTGTATTACATGGCGTATTCATTCTACTAATTACTGCTACTTGTACAAACTATAAATTGTATTTTGCCTTCAAGTCTTTTTCCTATGCACTGTGGTACAGAAATATATTTGTTCTAGGAACTGAGCATACCTTTTATTACACTAGAGGAATAAAAACCTTAGCTCTTTACAGGGTCCTTGGCTTAGAATTAAGGTTCTGATAGCTGATATCTGACCCAAAACACAACCAAGAAAGTAAACATGATGTTTAGATGATTGAGCTCTGTAGAATCACTCATCTATAACTTATGAAAAGGTGTCAGAAATGTCATGGGATAGTCACCAAGTTATCTAAGAATGATATGCTTGTCCCTTCTATCCCAGAGCACGTCAGTATCCCTAGCTGACCTTGATTCCCAAATTAACTACCTAGCTTAAAACATTTTGCATCTAAAGGCAATGTGACTCTCGTGCTGAGTACTGCTACTGAATGATGATTCTAATTCTCTGACTTCAGATCTTTTACCATAGCAAAACCATTCAGATGCATGTTAGTATCTGTCCAGAAGTTGTATTGTTGACTCCAATAATTCATGTTGTAAACTTGATAAAATGGTTGTCACCATGAGTGATTCTAGCATATTCTACCTCAACATCTCCAGCATTAACGTCTATCTGAGTCTACTGTTCTTTGTCTGCGAAGTAGGCATCTGCAGTTCCAAACACACTGTGCCTTGCTGATACCTTCAGAGCCTGATTTTTAATATTTTTTGAATACCTAACGTGGTGGTTTTAACCTGGCCAGCAGCCAAACACCCCACAGCTGCTCACTCACCCTCCAGAAATAGAATGGGGGAGAGAATCAGAAAGGTAAAAGTGAGAAAACTCCTGAGCTGAGATAAAAGCAATCTAAAAATTGAAATAAAATAATAATGACAACAATAATTATAATAACAGTAATAATGGAATATACCAATGAGTGATGTACAATTGCTCTCCACCTGCCGACCAATGCCCACCTTGTTCCCCAGCTAGTGATCCCAGAGCAGAGACAACCCTGAAACTGAAACTGAAATCTTGGAAGACAGAGAAGGAGCTCCAGCAAGAGCTTTCTGGCCAACCCTCAGTTATATACTGAACATGATGTTATATGATATGGAATATCCCACTGGCATACCCAAATGCCAATTTGGGTCTGTCAATCTATTATAGTCCCCCCTGAGTTTCTTCTCTACCTGTAGAATAAACATGGAAACTTGGAAAGTCCTTGATTTCTCAGCAACAACTAAAAACATCAGTATATTATCAACATTCTTCTCATAACAAATCCTATACCAAAACAAAAACATAGCACTATTCTAACTACTAAGAAGAAAATTAGCTCTATTCCAACTGAAACCAGGACACTAAAAATAATTTCTCAAAAAAACCTAGCATTACTATGAAAAAATATTTTATTATGCCTGTGTTATTATATGTGGTTTATATATGTAGATTTTTTTTATTAAAAGTTAAGGTACAAATGCTGTAATCTAGTTATTTTTCATGTTGTGAATTTTTATGGGGAAGATAAACAACTGTATTTTATCTCTAGGCTACTTTCAAAGGATGGATGGATATTATGTATGCTGCTGTTGATTCAAGAGATGTAAGTGTATGATCATCTGCTGGTTATATTCTGATATATGAATAGAGTATAGAATTTCAACAGTCACACATACAGTAACATTAAGAATTATAATCAGCACTGATACATCTTTTTTGCAGATACATTTAGTCTAGAAAGGAACTTTTATGCAACTTCATGAATCTTAGAATTTGTAGTGGAAAGAATTAATCTCACTTCCATCTGTTTAACCAAATAAGTTAAATTAACTGAACTTGGCTGCTTTTGGAAAAGTTAATGTTAATGAAAAAAAAAAATAAATCCTTGTTTGAGTGCATTTCTACACTCCAGCACATTGTGCAGTAGAGGTGCAGGAACTGAGATGTGGAATCCAGAAGAACTGAGACAATAACAAAATCCTCCTTAGAAATATGCCTCAATTTAATGGATTTTACAAAACATATACCCACTAGAAATTTATTGAAAGCATCTGTTCTTAGTGTCTGTAACACCACTCATGTAAGACCAAAAGAGTTCCAAGATTTAGGCGATAGTAAAATTGATTGATTCTGCTGAAAATACACTGAACGCAATATAAAATATTTAGATTTGTGCTGTTAAAATTTTAAGTACTAATGACTGCTCTCAGTCCCACATTGCTTTTTTCTTCTATACAAGGAACTTTGTGTACATAAATAAACATATCTGTGTACGCATTTACTTTAAAATTCCATATGAGCAATCATTCTGTCAGCTTCCAGTTCTCCAAATATTTATTGGAATGGACATGTTTGGTCTCTAATAACTGAGTGTAGTTTATTGCTTTTCTAGCTGAGATAGCATATACCTATTCATATATTATATACATTGGTTTTTATATCTAGTATTTTCATGGGTAACAAAATTTATAATATTTTGTAGGTAGAAGATCAACCTAAGTATGAGGAAAACTTGTATATGTATCTTTATTTTGTCATCTTTATCATATTTGGATCATTCTTTACCTTGAACCTTTTCATTGGTGTCATTATAGACAACTTCAATCAACAAAAAAAGAAGATAAGTATTCAAAATGTTTCCATAGTGCTATAAACTATTACCTATAATGAATTAATAACTTTTTAATGTAAAGCTAATAAAAATCAACATCTATTTCAAGTCCTTGAATAAAATTGTCTCTTTTTTTTTTTTTAACATAATCTGTGTTAAATCTGTGGGTGTGATTTTGATCTTTGCATTTCAGCATTTTGACAAGTGAACAGGTACAAATCATGAGCTGGTTCACAATAATTTCTTTTGATTAGATGTAATATTATCTGCTACAGGAGAGTTTATTTTTAATTAACCTTGAAGAATTAAGATAAATTAATTTTAATTAATCTTATAAACTGTTGGCACAATGTAAGATACAATATGGCATTATGTTCATACAATAGATAATAGTTCTGCAAATTGATTAAACAGTGGGTTAAAAGTCCAACAGACCTCACACAAATAGGCTTAATGATACAAGTAAAATTGTGTACAAAAGAGTTCTATTTTTCTAACACTTTCATGAGAAATAAGATGACCTTGTTAAGCACAAATACAATCTATAAATTATTAGAAATAATAAAGCAAAGGTATAAAAGGATATTTTTTCTGCATACTTTTGACATACAAGTATGTTTAAAATAATTATATTGATAATGCATATAGTTTTATGTAAAATAACTAAAAATCTAAAAATACAAATAGTCACATTTAAAATATTTTGAAGCCTCGTGATTCTTAGCCTTCAACTGCCAAAAAGAACTGCAACCTCAGGATCATTCTAAATCTTTGTATGATGTGAAAAAGTGGAAACCACTTGTTTTGGTTTTATCCAATCAACAAATAAAAAGCAGCAGTACCACACAGAATCTATGCTAAAAGTAAATTGTGAACTACAGAAATTTTTCCTTGTGAAGATATTCTTTAGTTTCTTAAAAGAGCCACAAACATGTCTGGGGGTACTTCCTCAGTTTCTACCAATTATGCCATGCTTTGGGCTTCGATATCCAGTTTAGCAGACAGTGACTTTTACAATGTGTTTCCATCCGACTTAGTTCAGACTCATCAATAAGCACAATTTACTTTGTACTGAAATTCAGTCAGTTGCACATCTGACTGGCAGCATTTGCATCTGCAAACAAAGGCTAATTTGAGGTAATCAAGGTTCCAGTGGTGTTTTAATTAATAATTTGCTATGGCATCATTTGGATTACTTTTCTTAAATTTATATAAACGGTGATTTTTTTGCTGTCATTAAAACCCTCAGATTAGACCCAAATACTCTCCCTTGACACTTGTACCTCAAAATTATGCCACTTTTAGGCCTAGCGAGCTGTTAATTTTAAGTCTATCGAGCATTTAGGACTTGTAAGGCACCAGTCAGGCTTCTATGCACTAAACATATCCTAATCAGCAAGTTATTTAAAAGCATCAGTAGAGTAAGAACCATTTTAGCCATGTCAGCAAAAGTGACATGAAGACACTCGAAAAACTCAACTGTCAGCCTGACAAGGCACCAGTAAGGAGTTCTTTTGTGTGCTATGAATGCATATGAGCATTGACGCTATAAATACCTGAAAAAAATCCCTTTTGTTATGTAAATCAAATACAAATGAAATATTATATTACAAAGAGACATACTGTATTTAAATGTTGTATGTGTGAACATGATAGTAATTAGTTTTGATATTATTTCTTTACTTTGGAGGTCAGGATATATTTATGACAGAAGAACAGAAGAAATATTACAATGCAATGAAAAAACTGGGATCCAAAAAGCCACAGAAACCTATACCAAGGCCAGTGGTAAGAGTGTTCTGATTTTAATACCCCTAATATTAAATACACATTTGGGAGTATTATTTTAGCCAACAAAAGGTTATATGTCTGGAAAGAAAATATTTTTTACATTTCTTTTCTTGTAAAGGTAGAACTTGTCCCTCCTTTTTTATTTCAGCTGACTAGATTGTTCATGTTTCATTTAAAAACATAACTCTGAAATATGAACGGTAGGATTTAATAAGGTTAATGTGATACACTTCATAATTCCCTGCCTAAGTCCTAGAAAAGTACCGTTGATTGGATCATTTACTGGTTCTTGTTACCCATGGATAAACTTCATTTTCTGTTTTTTTCTCCTCCCAGAGAATTTATAGGAAATGGGGATGCACTGGCCCTTGCTGCTGAAGACAGAAGGGGGCAGTGGTCACCTAATGTGAAAGAGAAAGACAGATGCAGATAATCTTACATAATAAAAGAATGCCCTAGGGAGTAAAGCATAAACTAGGATGAATTTGTCTCTAAGATAAGAAACTACTCTGTTATTTACTGAACTCCTTCAGTGTTTGGAAAAAATAAAATACTTGTTGCACCTTATGCACTGAGTGGTTAAAAATAGTCTTTCTAAGGAGCGACATATGGTAATTAACATTTAGCTAAGTACTAAAGGAAAACTAGGTTATTGCAGTCATGGTGTGTTTGAGACATGTAACTTGAGTGGTCCAATGATCTCACCAAGCACAATTAGTTTAAGGAAGAGAGAGACATCTCAGGGGGTTAGTATTCTAAAACCAGCTAAGAACAAAAATAAGAAAAATGAGTTTCTATTTGGGTTTCTTGCTGGGTATCAAGTTATACCACCTTTTTTACACCAATATCAATTGGCAATGTTATTACAATTATTATTGTGTTGTTTCCATTCCTGTCCCTTCAGTCAACAGTGGTACACTTCTTGATCCGCCCTAACAGGATGATACTCAAACCAGCACGGGGCTGGTGTACATTAACAGATGTATTTGGAATGGGTCTTGCTCTGCACTCCTAAATCTTGCAGGGGCTTGCTTTCCCATTTGGCATTTATAAAGACAAACATTTTCAGAGTATAAACTGTATTCCATCTTTGGTTTTGCAGAACAAATTCCAAGGCATGGTCTTCGATTTTGTAACCAAACAAGTATTTGACATCAGCATCATGATACTCATCTGCCTTAACATGGTCACAATGATGGTAGAAACCGATGACCAGAGCAAAGAAATGGAAACAATTTTATCCCGGATTAACCTGGTGTTCATTATCCTTTTCACTGGAGAATGTGTCCTGAAATTGATTTCACTTCGCCATTACTACTTCACTATAGGCTGGAACATTTTTGATTTTGTGGTTGTGATTCTGTCCATAGTAGGTAAGAGCAATTCCCTTCCAAGAGAGAACTAGTGGAAGGAAAAGAGAACATTTGTTTCAATAATGTTATGATACTGAATATGAAATTTTATGTTTCCTATATGACTTACATGTTGATTCAGATCTTCATACTTTATAGCATACAATGTATGAAATGCTGCATATGAGATTTTTAGCTCTCCTATTAGATTCACTATCATCTTCCACATCAAATGACATGGAGGAAGTACTTGGTGCAACAGATTATCATGTACAAATATAAAAAGGAATGTTTAGTGGTTTATGCAAACTAACCTCAAATTTGCTTTCAGTACTAAAACTGAAAAGTATGTGAAGGGTATGAAATTTTTAATTCCTTTTGCTAACTAAGGTCTTGGTGAATATTTAGATTTTGTGTCAACTAAAAGCTAATGACTCACTAAGGTGCAAATGAGTTGTGTGTCAAAACTTAAGTCTAAAAGAGTGATACACCTGAGAGAGGTTGTGCTGATTAAGTGTAGGTCTTCAGGTAAAACAAAACCACTAATTTGCAGAAATTAAGCTAATACAGACCTTCATAAAAGACAATGGCAATAGGCTCAGCTTCAAGAACTCATTCTAAGACAGGAATGTCTTAGAATGCTGCTTTAGGAATAACTGAAAGCTGAGACAGACATTAACTACCTTGTCACGAGCAGTCTTCTTTCTTTTACTTACTTCCCTTCCCCTAGATAGCATTTCAACAGAAGGAAGGTGCTTTCACCTTAGTAACAGCTTTCAATAAAATGTAATAACTTGTACGATGTTTTGCTACAGCACAGACTCCCTATACTGATTGTTTTGGAGACAGCAATAACTAAATCTTTCTATTGGTAATGAATGAATAAATTTAAAACATATTTTTAATCATCACTTCTTTTCTCTAGGTATGTTCTTAGCTGAGATGATTGAGAAATATTTTGTGT